TGCCAAAGTCAATAATGGCAAGTTGCTGTAAACTGATGTCACTGGACTGGAGGAGAGCGTCTGCTGTGATGATGTTAGCAAACATCCATTGTGTGTGCAATGCTGAGTGATTCTCTGGCTATTTAATCATCCCAACTGTTGTTTGCGTGGTACCCCCTCCCCAACTCCGCCCCAGCTCCGAGTGGGCCGGCCTCCAAGCCTCCCTTTGCTAATGTTCTCCTGGCATCATGGCTTCTCCCCTTCTCTTTGTTAAGTTGAATCCTTCAAGGGCTGAAGTTCCACCACCTCCAAGAAGTCTCCCCAGACCACCAGCCTTTCCTGGAGGCCACTGATGAGGAAGTGGATCAGATCAGCCAGAATGTGGCTCTCAGCTGGGGGTGGGGGGTGATTTGCTTCCGGAGGACCTGGAGACATTGGTTGTTGCACTTGGGGAGGGTGGATGCGCTTGGCGTCCAGTGGGCAGAGGTCTAAGACGCTGCCGAACGTCCTATGGTGCCCAGGACGGCCCCACGGCAGAACGCTGTCTGGCCCCAGATGTCCTTAGTGCCAAGAAATCTTGCGTCAAACTTACTAAGATATTACTAAGGATTTTGTGAAAACGCTCAGGAGTCAGATTTGTGTTTCATCATTGGCCTTTCCTGTTTTTTCCCCAAGAAGTGACAGACGTTTGGCATTTGGCTCCCTTGGAGAAAGGGATGAGCAGAATAATACGGGCTGTGGTTTGAGGACGCTCCTGCTTTCTGGCCTGAGTTCTGAACTGAATGAGGCAACAGGAGTCAGCAGATGGGGCCACAATACTCTTTTTTTTAATTTATTTTTTATTGAAGTATAGTTGATTTACAATGTTGTATTAGTTTCTGGTGTGCAGTACAGTGATTCTGTTATACATATATATATATATATATTCTTTTCTCAGATTCTTTTTCATTATAGGTTATGACAAGATATTGAATATAGTTCCCTGTGCTATACAGTAGGACCTTGTTCTTTACCTGTTGTATGTATAGTAGTGTGTATCTGCAAATCCCAAACTCCTAATTTATCCTCCCCCCTTTCCCCTTTGACAACCATAAGTTTGTTTTCTATGTCTGTGAGTCTGTTTCTGTTTTGTAAATAAGTTCATTTGTCACTTTTTAGATCCTACATATAAGTGATATCATATGATATTTGTCTTTCTCTGTCTGACTTACTCCACTTAGTATGACCATCTCTTGGTCCAGCCATGTTGCTGCAAATGGCATTATTTCATTCTTTTTTATGGCTGAGTAGTATTCCATTGTGTATATATACCACAACTTCTTTATCCATTTATCTCTCTATGGACATTTAGGTTGCTTCCATGTCTGGGCTATTGTAAATAGTGCTAGTGTGAACATTGGGGTGCATGTATCTCTTCAAATTAGAGTTTTCTCTGGATATATGCAGAGGAATGGGATTGCTGGATCATACGGTAATGCTATTTTTAGTTTTTAAAGGAATCTCCATTCTGTTTTCCATAGTGGCTGCACCGATTACATTGCCACCAATAATGTAGGAGGGCTGCCTTTTCTCCACACCCTCTCTAGCATTTATTATTTGTAGACTTTTTGATGATGGCCATTCTGACTGGTGTGAGGTGATACCTTAAGGTGTAGTTTTGATTTGCATTTCTCTAATAATTAGCAATATTGAGCATCTTTTCACATGCCTATTAGCCATCTGTATGTCTTCACTGGAGAAATGTCTTCTGCCCATTTTTTGATTAGGTTGTTTACAATATTATCTTTATTACTGAGAAGAACTAGCTTGGACAGTGTCACTCAGGCATGTGCCAACAATGGGCTTCTTAATTCTGAAACCAGGAATCAGGCTGCCTTACCCATGCAGGCCCAGGCAATGCTGACAATTTCCCCCTCTGAGGCAGATCCTCATGGTGGAGAGACCTGGGCACCTGCAGACAGGCAGGACATGGGGGAAGAAACAGCTCTGCAGGCTCAATTCCTTTTTAGAAATTAGTCAGTCAGGTAAGTCACTTTTCTTCCTTGGAGAGGAGTAAGGGGCGGGAAAGAGGCTCAGAGATCAGGGAGCAACCCCTCCTCATTGAAACCTGGTGAATCAGTGAGGATGGGCTGGGCTCTGCTGCAGTAACAAACACGACTCCCAGCTGTCTGTGGCTTAAAACAACAAAAGTTGATTTCTCACCCACGCTGCATGTTTAACACAGGTTGGTGGGGGCCCTGCTCTTCTAGTCCTTGGGGGTCCGGGCTGACGGGCTCCAGGCTGACGGGCTCCACACCTTAGTGACACCACCCTCTTGATTTAAGTCTCCGGAGTTTGCTACAGCAGAGAGAGGAGAGCAGGGAGAACTCTGCTCCTCAGTGCTTCTGTCCAGAGGTGGCACACAAGTGCCCTCACACTGGTGAGTGGAGTGTGAAGCCCACGCTTCACCTCAGTGGGGTGAGGAAGTTCAGCCGCTCATCTCCCAGTACAGGAGGACCAGGATTGTCAGAGAGCAGAGGTCATGCCCCTCCCACCACCTCCATCCGCACTGAGCTAAGGCACTTCACTGGAAAGACAAGGTGTTCTCAGGAAGTGTTTTCTGGGGAGGTACTCGACAAGCTAGAGAACGAGATGTGGCCGGAGAAGAGCTGGTGCTACCCTCAGACCCTACCCTGATGGTACCACTGTGTGATGGGCAAAGCATTTGGGGCCTCAGTTTTTCCAGCTGTGAATTGAACAGGCTGCACTAGGTGATCTCTTCCATGTCCTGTGAACTCTTTAAAGGTGGGAAATGTCTCATTTACCCTGCACTTCTGTGCCTTGCACAATACCTGGCCTGCATTAGACACTCAGTCTGGGTACTTGAAGCACTGAGTGAATCAGCTGCTCTGATTCCATATGAGTTTGGGAAGGTCAGGGGTTGGGGGAGCTCCTTAGCTCACCACAGTACGCCTAACCCATCATGGCTTTTAACTCCATTTGAGGTGAGCTCTGTGCCTTCTGCACCCCCCTGCCCCCACCCCAGCAGCAGAACCACTAGTTGACCAGCTGCTGATCACAGATGGGTGGGTAAACCCAGCCTAGACCTTTGGAAGAAACATCCAGATGAACCCAATCCAAGTGGTCAACTACAGAACTGTGAGCTAAGGCTGTCATTTTAATTCGTTGAAGTTTTGGAGTGGTTTGTTATGCAGCAATAGATGACTGATACGCTTTTCAGGCCATGATCTATATTCTAGTGAAGTGATGTCTCTAAAACACAGGTCTGTGTATGGCATTCCCCTGTTCAGAGTATCCATTGACTGGGTACACTGACCCCTTAGCCTTGGCATAATTCTTCCAGCTCTTGATTTCACTGGCTGAAAATATGGGTGAAGCAAAGGCAGCAGGTGGTAAGTACCCTCGCTGTCCTGTTTAACTTTAAGACTCAGCTAGGGGTCTCCTCCTTTGATACCTCCTTCCTTTCTGAACTCCTCTCGGGCAGACTCTGTCCCCCTCATATTTCAGATCTCATACTTAGAAGCGGACTTTTTTCTTTAAAATTTTTTTTTAATTAAAAAAGTTTAAACTTTCAATTAAAAAATTTTAAGTTGAAGTATAGTTGATTTACAATGCTGTGTTAGTTTCAGGTATGGAGCAAAGTGATTTAGTTACACACATATCTATTCTTTTTTAGATCCTTTTCCATTATAGGTTACTATTGAATAGTTCCCTGTGTAAAGTAGGTCCTTGTTGTTTATCTATTTTATATATTATAGTGTGTATCAATCTCAAACTCCTAATTTACCCTCCTGTCCTCCCCTTTGATAAACAACATTTGTTTTCTATGTCTGTGAGTTTCTGTTTTGTGAACAAGTTCATTTGTACAATTTTTTTAAGAGTCCACATATAACTGATATCATATGATATTTGTCTTTCTTTGCCTGACTTACTTCCCTTAGTGTGCTAATCTCTAGGTCCATCCATGTTGCTGCAAATGGCATTATTTCATTCTTTTTATGGCTGAATAGTATTCCATCACACACACACACACACACACACACACACACACACACACACACCACCC